TGAGGCACCATAAGAGTACATATATAAAATCTATCCAAAATCCCTGGTATTACCGCTCAACAAGTAGTTGCCATAACAATACAAATCCACGGGACTTAACTTTTAGTTAATCCCATTCTTATTCCAAGTAGATGGGTAATGATATTGTTTTAAAAACCAAACCCATCCTTAGTATGCCATCGTCCCATACCGGTGCCTACTTTCCAATCCTCCAGTAGTCAATAATACCAATAAATCAAGTATATATCAACTAAATTCCAACATCCAACATTCAATGTTAGCAGTGATAAAATAAGCATTGATAAACAGGGTCACAACAACAACATATACATGCCCAATTTAAGTTGTTCCCTTTAGTCTGATATAAAGACAGAATTAATTAAAACTTCCATTTAACACCTTACAAATGACATATAGATATGTAGGGTATGTATCACAAAATCCTAACCTCCACAGTTGATACTAACTGTGATAATGTAAGCATCAAAATAATATTCACAGTATGTATGTAGACATGCTCAAATTATAGTGTTCCACAAAACCGATCTAGTGTTAAACTCAAATCCTCCTAATATTTAAGTTCCAACAGTTGCTATTACAGAAGTTAAAATAGCTATCATCTAGACCCATCCTTCCAATAATTTATACTAGCAGTGGTAAGGAAAAACGTGAACCACAGAACCACAATGCATCCACAAACATGCTTAGTCTAGGTTGAATAAGCATACAACACTACTGTAACTACTAGTTTCATAGCAAAACAGATATCATTTTAGTTTGGTTTAATCTTCATTAATCCTAAAATCATTTAAGAGTGCAAAGAGTATGAAGCCTAAGGGAAAGAGTAATGATAGAATCTTGCCTCAGAAACTTTAGTTCAAAGTTTTAACGTCGTCTTCTTAAAAAAATCCCGGCGAGTTCCAAAACCCGGTTACTGTTCACGGGTACGAAACACTATTCCCGAACTCAAAGTCTGATCTCCACCGTTCAGATTGTGCGACACTGAGTCATGAACCTATCCTCCCAATTTCAGCTCGATTGGACCACGGACGAAGCGGGATCGGATGTTTGATGAAATCTGGGCAAAATGGAAAAAAAAACCTGTGCGACCCAGTTACTGTTCACGAGTACGAATCACTGTTCCCAAGGTCAAACTCTGATCTTCACCGTTCAGATTGTGCGTCACTGAGTCGTGAACCTCTCCTCCAAAATTCAGCTTGATCGGACCACGGACGAAGCGGGATCGAAGCTTTGATCAAACCTTGGCGGAATGTGAAAAACTGCGTTTTTCCTTCTCCACTTCCACAAAACATGTGCTTTGTTTAAAAAAAACCCTACACAGACATCTACCTTATACTTATAGAGTTTTCCTAAACCCTAGGTTCATTTAAGTCCAACTCACAATTCTAACCGGCCCATCCAATTAACGTAGAAACCTACGACGGTTATAATATAAAACCCTAATTTATACTGTAATTAAAACCCTAGTTAGATGTATTTACCTAATTACCATATTCACCATTAAATACTTAACAAATAATCTAATTGAACAAAATAATAATTAGTAAACCCAATTAAACCAAATAAGACACACATAAAATAAGACACATATAAAATAATTAAACCAATTACACTTAAACCATTAATGTCAATTAAATAATTAAAATACTAACAAGTAATTCCAATCAAATAACTAAACCAATTACACTTAAACCATTAATGCCACTTAAATAATTAAAACACTAACAAGTAATTCCAATTAAATAACTAAAAATAAATATCATTTAAATAAATTAAATCACCACAAAAGAAATAAATTAAATCACCACAAAAGAAAACAATTAAGTACCTAATAAAAAAAATAATGACACATAATCAAATAAAATGCACTTAAATAATAAATTAAATACCATTAAATACTAGGAATATCCTTTTTAAAATTAGGGGTATTACAGGATCTCTGAAAATATCATCATGGCTCTGATCCATCTTGAAGTGCTAAGATCGATCATGTTAGATCGATCGAACTTTAATCTGAGATCGATCGAAGATATTGATTTCCACCTTTTTCTTTCTTTTGCTTCTACTTGGCTCATTTCTTTGATTTATCCCAGAATTGCTTCATTTCTGCTCTTATTTGGCTGAGTTAGCTTATTTTCGGAATAAGTGCCTGAAAATGGAAATAATATGAAATCAATCTAAAACGGTAAAGTAAGATAGATAAAGGTACTAGAATGCCTAAGCTTAAGGGGTTTAAATACGCACTTTTCAGTGCTTATCAAATGTATTGAACCAAATTGTCTCACTATTATACATTGTTTGCTATATAGAAGGAAACACCACAACACCACAAGCCCCGACTCTGTCTACAGTTAAGTAGGAACATCCTTTACACCATTCATGCCATGACCTGAAAAGATGTATATAGAATTGGAATGAGCAACCACAGCTCAGCGGGAATTGCCTAAAGCGTACTCCTTAATACCTCCATGAATCCAAACATAGAACAGATATACGTTAACGGGATCATACATGTTCAGGAATAATATATCATATGAGATAATAAAATGAAGTGTAATGCAATGCTAATGCCAATGCCAAAGCCACTTCCCACTTTCCCGAGACAATAACCAACCATTCATCCCAATGGTTAATGTATCCAGCCTGGGGTAATCCCCAGCTCCATGAGAAGAAGACTGATCATCTGTCCCTGACCTAGAGAAATCTCTAGCGCCATTTAGGGCCCAGTGACTCAACCACACGCAGAGGATGTCTCTACGTCTTCTCTAGATCCATTAACGACTTGGATACGAGGTAATCCCCGTCATCTAACATTTCACATTACTCTTTTCAACTCTTTTTCTCAACACACATGATATGAGATATTTCCACTTTCCTTTCCATTCTAGACTCATCCCCAAACCTTGCGAGATAAATGTACATTCATAATGATACAATGTACATCATATTGAAATCAATAATTTGATATATGTCCATATACAATAAACATTCTCAATTAAATTCTTTTAAAAATTCTAGCATGCTTACTAATACAATAATTATCACATAGTCACCTACTCAGGAAAATGGTTCTCAATTCAAATTTATTTATTTTCAAACAAATAACATTCAATTGAAGAGATATAATTCACCAAAGGTAAATGTTGTGAGATTTAAACAATCCTACCTCAAAATAGATAAAACTCTGCAGCAACAATAGCAAAAACCTCCACTATTGAAGAATGAAAGCCTCCAAAATTTGTGGAAAATGAAGAACACCTCCCTTTTTTAAATACACCCACACTTCCTCTTTCAACCCCTTTTTAAAACTCAATAACAAGGAAATGATTCCAAACTTTGTATCAATAGAAAGTTTACAACTATGGGAACATCTTTCATTCACAAACTCCTCTCATATTCTCACCACAAAACCTTCAAAATTGTGCTTAAAAGAAATGACTATAGAAGGGAAACAAAGACACGAAAATGGTATTATGCCGAATTCCTATATCAATTCTCCAAGCCTGCTAAAATGATATGCCACCCACACACCTAAAGTGAAGACACACATGCGCCTAGGTGTCAAGCATGCACTTAGTCAAAGATGTGACCATGGGCAATGACTCAATTGCCCCTCCAACTATCACAAAATCTCAAGTATGCCATTTGCATATATATATATATATATATATATTTTTCAAAAAAACAAACAAAAGCAACAAATCATCACATATTATCAATGATAAAAATCACTTACAATAGAACGAATTGATATAGGATAGGATTATGTTGAGGGTGTCGAACTTCAAGAACAATAGTGGATTGTTAAATATAAAATTAATTACTAATTTAATTTAATATTAAGTCTAGTAGCGGCCCTAGTAGCCCATTTTGGATTAGAACTCAAAAGATGATATCAAAATATTTCCGTTCCAAACAAAGAAAGCCCATTTGTTTAAACCTGGCCTAACAATAAGCCTTAACGGAGTGGCCTAAATTTTGAATCCTGATCGACTACTAATGCCATGAACGTTGGAGGCTAGTTCCACCAAATTTTTTGTTTTTCCATAATCGGAGTATCTGGAGCTTTTCCTCGACTAATTCACGGGACCCGTACAAGTTGCCCCACACGAATCGGATAAAGCTCCAACTATGTCCGCAAATATGGCTCCTAAGGAATTGTTTGCACTTAGAAGGAATCAATTTTGAAATCTGATACTTTATGAGGGATCGATCTTGAGACGTACAACTTTGGAACTCCTTAAATCGCACTGTTGCGGATAGGTGAGGTTTAGAAATGAGTTTTGTGTTAAACTTTTGCTTCTAAAGAGTCTTGCTATCCGTCTCCCCCTTATGAAGTCCACCGATGCTGCCAGAGTTCATTTGTTAATGATATGATTGCGTGAATTTAGCTTCCAATGGTCTGAAGACCAGTAAATTAGTTCTGACCAAAAGGATAGTGAAGTGGGGAAACCACATTTGGCTTGGAGGTAATTCTAGATGCGCAATGATAATGAGCATTGGAAAAATAGGTGTGATTGGTTTTCTTTTGCAGATTTGTACATAAGACATGAGTTGGGGATATAGAGATATGTAGGTAATTTTTAGTCCTTTTTTGGCAATTTGGCTCGAATAGCTAATCATAAAATAAAATTGTGTTTGGAGTTGCAAGGTTGAAACCGGTGACATGAGCCCAAGGCACAGGTGGGAGTGATGGGGTAAAAGCTATTTCAATGTCATTGCGAATTGAAAAAGTATTGCATGAAATTTGGGGGTATCTTTAGTTGTGTTGTAAGGGACCATAATATAATAAATCATCAAACCAGAAAAAAGATACAAAGAAAAATTATTCCTAAATTGAATTAGGCGCACAAAATAAGAAGACGAAAATAGAAGTGAGTAGTCATGTTTGGGTTTTCGTATATTATTCAAACTGCAAGGCTTAAAAGGACTTAATTTGAGACGATGTGGGGAATTGACCCTTTTGTCTCCCAATGGGCTTGTTCATTGCCCCATACATACAACAATGATGCTAGAATCAATACATGTTCACACGCACACAAACAATTCATAAAGAAACATATATTTTACAATGTTTAAATATATTCTGTTGAAAGTCAACACTGACAGGGGAGATGTGGTGTTATTTTGAAACCATAGGTGAGATCCGTAGGAAAGAAAATACATGCATGGTTCACCTTGTAATCATAAATAGAATCTCATGCATACAAAACTAAACCAATAATGAGCAATTCTTAAGTAGAAGGTGCCACCTTCTCTTGTAACAATAGTTTTAATTATTCTTCCAAATTGCATCTCCTTATTTCTCTTAGTACAGTTGTAAATCCAACAAACCTAAAAGCACAGTTCACAGCTTCTTCACCAAAAGATCAACCCCATATTCAGGTTTTACGAGTAACCTTAAAGTCGGTGAATGGACATACTTGGGAGAGAGGGAAATAGAGAAGTTGGAGAGAATCAGAGAAATCAGTATCTGAAGTTGAACCATAGCCAAGTGTTGTCCCACACACAATCGTGGTCCGAATCCAAACGGCATGTACGTGTGTGGAATCTTGCAAGCACCCGTGAGCCCATTCACAAACCTCTCTGGATTAAAGTTGAGTGCATCTGGTCCCCATATTTCAGGGTCAGTGTGCATTGTGACCACCATGGTCCAGAAGTTGACACCCTTTGGTATGTTAATGCCTCCAACCTGTATGTCATTCAAGGCCTCCCTAGACAATGCTGCTCCATTTGGATATAGACGCAGTGTTTCTTGGACCACCATTTTTAGCTGCAGAACAGAATTAGAATTTATAGTTAATTAGTGATATGTTCTATTGACCTAAAATTGTTATTTGCATTAACTCTACTATTTTAAAAAATGATCTAGCACGTAATTTTCATTATTAATGTTATCGTTGTTGTCACCATTTGGCCCAACTTTCAGAGAATTCTAATTCAATTGTGCATTAATGTGCTAACTATTTCATTTTACGAAAGCATTAATGTGCTACCTGTTTCATTTTACGAAGCATATCAAAGTCTGGAATTTGGCCACCACAAACTTGAAGAACCTCTGTGCGTACACGAGTTTGCCATTCTGGATTTGAAGCCAATAACATGAGGCACCAGGAGGAAACAACTGAAATGGTCTCGTTCGCGGCTAAGTATATGTTTTTGCAGTTATCAACAATGAATTGATCGATTTCATCTTTGCTAAGATCACTATTTTCAGCACCTTCGAGCACCATCTGCAATAGGTCCTTCTCGTACCCACTTTCCTTCCTCTCCTTCACTACCTCCACGATCAATGCATGGATCTCCTTCTCTAATGCCCATGCTTGCCTATTGCCTTTAGTAGGAAAATAACTGAAACATATAATATATGAATTAGGTATTAACTAATTAACTTAACTATTATAGCCCTTTAAAATAAAAAATAAAAAAAATACTCAACCATTATATATAAATAATAAAATTAATATATATTTACTAGGCGCCTACAAAAAAAGGAATTATCCAATTTCAGGGACGAACCAGTAAATAAGGTGAGTAGGTTAAGGAACCCCCGCTGATTTTTTATTTATATATTTTTAGTATTGAATTTACATAGCCCCCACCCCCGAAATTACCAAAATAAATAAAATTTGTTGCCTCACTCATATAATTTATTGGATCCATCTATATATAGACGGGGGAGAGAGATGCAGATCTAGAGAGACATTGAATTTTTGTTCTTATTCTTTTTTCGGATTAAGTACAAAAAACTTTTTTATAATATATAAAATGTGTAATTAATTTTTTATTATTTCAATTTATGTAAACAAGGACATTAGGTAAATTTAGCAATTAAAATATCTAAAATACCCTTATAAAAGAAATTAAAAAAATATGAAGGCTCCCTGCTGATGTAAGCAATAAAAATAATATACTACGTAATTAAATATTCATATACTGTATATAAACTTCTGGGCCTCCTCGTATCACTTTTTCTCTCATATGCTCTCTCCACACAGCCCATGCTCCATAATTCCATGCCAACCACAATATATCTCCTCCTCATATTCTCTCTACATACTTCTTTCACATAATACCCCTATTAAATTCAGAAACCAATAATTCATATCAATACTCATATCCCATGCCAGTGGCATAAGGTGAGCTCCATTAAATCCGACGAGCGAACACTACACCATCCAAAAATATCTGACCACCAAACACCATCCAAAAATATGGTTACCAAACACCACCCAAAAATCCGCCCATCAAACACCATCAGTTGTGACGGCAAGATCAATCAATGAAACAAGCCATAATTTCTTAATCTCAGCCAAAATATCAAGCCTCTATTGCTCCTACCTCAATCATATCATCAAATACATATCAAGGACTGTGATAACCCAGATTTTCAGGCTTGATTTTATTTTACAGATTTTTTGGGGGTTTATTTTTGTTAATTAAGAGAAAATAATTGTTTTAGTTTTTGTCCACTATTTTGTTTTAATGAGCTACGTGTCCTAATTTGGATGAAGGAGATGAGTAATTGGATTAAGTTGTGAACTTTTGTGTTTGTTTTTAAGTAGGACCCCTTTGGTTTGGTGATATTTACGTATCATATATATATATATATATATATATAATTGTTTTAGTTTTTGTCCACTATTTTGTTTTAATGAGCTACGTGTCCTAATTTGGATGAAGGAGATGAGTTATTGGATTAAGTTGTGATCTTTTGTGTTTGTTTTTAAGTAGGACCCCTTTGGTTTGGTGATATTTACGTATCATATATATATATATATATATATATATATATATATATACAGGTAATGTTTGTTATGGGTGAGATTTTTGGTTTACACTGTTGTGGGTGAGATGGTGGTGGTCCAAATGGAGGCAAAAAAGAAAGTAATGACAGATGGTGGTGGGTCCGCTGTTAAACTATTGTGCCAAACCATTAATTTGGGCACTTGTGTGATAATGTGTGTGCGTGTGTTGTGGATTTCGGTGAGCAACCAGAGGGAGGGAGAGAGAGAGAGAACAGGGAGGAGGCCGAGAATTACACAGAGGGCAAGAGTTGAAGAAGAAGATCAAGGAAAAATGATTTTATGGGTAGGGTTCTTTGTATCTTGAATGACTTGATTTTGCTCCAAACGGTTTTATTGATTGATTTAATTAAATATATATATTTTTTATTTTTATATTTACATAAATATGTATATTTGATGAAGTTGTTTTTGTTAAATATTCATAAAATTCTTATTATGAATTTTTTTACTGGAACTTCCCGTCTTACCACCCTCCAGACCCTCCAGTTTTAGGTATGAGGAAGAAGAATAATTGCGAAATTTGAACTTAGGTGAAAAAGCTGGTGTTGCGAATTTATTTATATATTTGGAGATTTTTGTATATATATATATTTGAGGAATTGATTTATGTATAAAATAAGGTATTTTTTATGGTCTTAAGAATATATTGATGTATTTATAATTTGATGAAATTGAGAAATTTATTAGAATTTTCAGGTCAAGAGCAATAAAATTGTAGACAAAAAGAAGGTAATTTATATATTTATTGGTATATATTATGTGAAAGAGAAACCGAGGAGATACAGGATTGAGGTATTCCTTGCCATGGACAGTTTGGTGGAGATCGATCAAAATCGATGATTTGAAGTTAGTGAAGTTGTGGACCAATCCGACAACGTTACGATCGGATAATCAAATGCTTGATTTGGTTTGTTGAGTGAACTCAATTCCGACAGTTCATCCATGTATATATATATATATATATATATATATATACACATGGATGAACCAAAGAGGATTGCTCGGCAACGCAACGAACCGGTGAGCGAGGATGTTTTGACAGCGAGCAAGTATTTCGGCGACGAGCAAGGAGAATGTGCTCGGCAAGCACAGAGGATTGCACGACGAGCAAGTGAGCACGGCGAGTAAGTGAGAGACTGAACGGCGCGGACAGAGAACATAACGGGATACAAGAACTATTACGAGGCCAGCGACGGACTGAGCTTACCAGAATGCAAGGATTGTAGAAGTGAAGGAGCCGCCGTGCAGGGATGATGGGTCTCGGCACTGGATTTTGATGAATTACCATTTCGTTGCAACACAATTCCGGGTTTCGATTAAAACTGTAGCAACAACGCTCGACGTTCTTCCTCTGAGTTCGATCGATGTGTCGTGTGAATTTTGAGAATTAGTCGAATTGTTGATAAAGTAATCAGGGCAAAATTGAGCTCGACCCATATGATGAATGTGCCACGAAGCGAGTGATTTTGATATTGAATCAATTCGAGAGCAAATTCGAGCCAGACACGGGTATGATCAAAAGGGTTTTTGATTATCTCAGAATCTGAAGCTGGAATGATTGTCATAAGGAGGCTGAATTCTTAGATGAAGAGATTGAGTTGGAGAGTTTGGATGGTGTGTTATTGTATACAGAGAAGACACAGAGGATTTGAAGAGAGAGAAACAATAGAGAGGGAAAAAAACTTCTTACATCACACTGAGGGCATTTTGGGATTTTTATAAAAAAATAATAGGTCAAAATTGATGATTAGGGGACAATTTTTTCAAAAGATGGATAATACTGTGTTATATGCATTTTTTTGTTTAATAGAAGTGTTCCTTGCACATAGTTTGCATGTATAGGGAAGGTGTTTGTTTTTTTTGCACTTTACCTCTCCTTTATTTTTCTTTTTTTTTTTTACTAAGTATTTTTTTTTTTACCAAGTATTTGGGTCTTCCTGATGGAAATTGTGTCTCACATTCTATTGTAGGTTTTTATTAGTTGTTAGACAACTTTTTTTTCTTGTAAGGTTTCTTGTACGTTGGACAAGTTGTGGGTTCTAACAAGTGGTTTCATAGGTTCTGTTGCGCCCAACACTTTCTTAATATCAAAATACAATCCGATTTATAATAATAGATTATTCAGCCATTGAGTTGATGAGAGAGTAGTTAGGGTTCCCAGTGCAGAGCATCTCATTGTCTCATTTTGTTAGGGTTTGTTCCCATTGAAAATTGGGAAGAGAAAATTGGGTTTAAAACAAGTTAACTCGTTATATAGAGAACATAAACGCCATCATTTTCTAAGAAGTGAATTTGTCACGTGACTTGTATCCACTAATAGTTGAACCCAAAGACCAACGGAATGAGATTTTTTGTTAAACAAAAAGGGGCTAATTACATAAAACCCCCATTATTTGTAACTTTTTATCGTAAACCTCCAATTTATTTTAAAAAATTCTTTATACATTTAAAAGTGATAATATTACCTCCAAACTCATGATTGATCCTTTAAATTAATTGTGAAATGTCAAATTTACTCTTACTATTTAATGTTAAATTAAAACTTAAAATTTTTTTTTTTTTAATAACGATTTACCTTTTGTCATTATCTAATAACGACGTCGTTTTTTCACCAAATAATTTCCTTCATCCTATGATATCAGGCACACATATATATATATATATGGTGGAAATATATATAATTGGATCTTGCTATAGATATCAAACTAACTCATTTGAAACCCTAAAAATAACAATGACGACGTGTTCAAGTTCGCAAACTAATGTGATGCTTCACTACCTTTGAAGGAGTTGGACTCCAACTTTGTAGAATTGGAGTCGCCGGTAAACGATGACACGAACGAATTCGCCGCCGACGGTGATGCCGCCACAAAATTAATTGTGGTCTCCTTTCTCTCGACAGATTCGTTTTTGACCAACTGGCCAGTGATGATTGTGAGGTAGAGGAGGCAAGCGCTGAATCGGAGTGGGATAGTAAACCCTAGAAATCAAACCCTGTTTATCCTCCACCTTGTGAAGATTGATCGTCGCTTGAATGAACGACTTAGATTCTAGGGCTTTATGTTGTTGTTAAGGAGGAGGTGGAGAAACAACACCTCTTCGAAAACGGGCGTGACCGGTTCTGGTCCAATCGAGCAAGAAAGAAGACGAGTATTTTTATAATTTTACAAAAGGTAAATTTCAGTTTTAAATATAATATTAAATAGTAAGGTTAATTTTGTCATTTCACAGTCTGATTAACGAGTCAAGTATTGATATTGGAGCAATGTGATTGCTTTTAAAGTGTAAGAAATTTTTTGAAATAAATTAGGAGTTATGGTCAAAATTTAAAAGTTGTGGGCGTTTTATGAAATAAGCCCTAAATGGTTTTCCCATGGGGGTTGGGGTGGTCTAGTCAACTTTTGTTTTCTGTTGGAGAAGTTTCATTGTGTATGGTATTGCAAGCCCCTGAAGAAGAAGGCTTACCTTGCACCAGGCACCCCAATAGACAAAACCTTTTTTGAGGTGGCTTCTTGGAGAGTTTTGAGCTTAACAAAAATCTGTTTTCCCTTGATGTAACTGCTTCCAAAACAAGCTCTCGAGATTACTTCTCCAGAGAAACTTGCCATATACTCGTCGATGTTTATGTCTGCAATTCCACCCTCAGTTTGATCAATTCTACTCTTCCATGCATTCAGTAGTGTGTCAGTGGACTCCAAAATTAGGTTTATCATTCCCTGCAGGATGTAATTAAGTTATACATACAGCCAGTTACTATATATATTTGGTAATTAAACGCAATTTTATCAAACAAATCCAGAAGCAAAACCCAATTAATTTGTTTAAGATTCCTAGAACCTAAACCATTATGGTGTGGTAATAAATTTGTACCTTGACCTTGTCCATGTATAATTCCGGAGCAAGGATTTTCCTGTAACGAGCCCAGGTAGGTCCATTTGAAGTTAGAATGCCCTGACCAAGCAATGGACCGAACTCTTTCTGGTGATATGAAGGCTTCCCCAAGTCGAAGGATTTGTAGGTAGTAATCTCTTTCATCAAATCAGGTTGGTTCACATATAATATTTGTATGTTACCAAGTGAAAACATGAACAAGTTACCTGCAATTAATGTGTGTATATACATCATATAGCAATCATTTATATAGTTATCTTTATTTTTCAGTTTGGGAAGCAAATGTAGTTGAGAGGAGACACAAATACAGCTGGGCATTGCGAAGCATCCATGAAGTGTCTATATATATATATTATATGCTTTTGTGATCCACACATATGCTAACATGTGCATTTGGATAAACTCAAAAGTGGGCGGCTATAGATATACATATATGCTTAATTTTGTGCATGTGCCCAGGGGGCTGCAGCCCCTGCCCCCATGGTGGCCCACTATTTTTTTTTTTCCTATACATAAATTTGTATAAATTGTAAAATGCAACTTCTAAAATTAATAAAACAGTCTCTCTTTTTCTGAATTCACTAAATTTTATTTTATTTAATGCGTATAATTTATAAATATTTATAAAATACTCCCATAAAATTTATGAATTATCCCTTATAAAATTATCTATTTCTAAAATCGTCTTTAATTCTTTATTCTTTTTCCTTCTTATTCTTCAAATTTCTTTTTATCATCTTCAAAAACTTTTGCATTCTCTTTCTACAATTAAAACATATTTTTCCTTCAAAATTCTCTCATATTTTTTCTTTTTATTTCATTTTCTTCTTAAAATTTCCTTTTTCTTGCACTCATGCATAATTAATATGCAATAACCTCTCTTTTTTTCTTTTTCTTTTTTTTTTATTTTTTTATTTTTCACTTCTTATTCATTTTTTATTCACTTATATTTTCTGCCTATTTGGAAAAAAAATTATTTTGTCAGTGTTATCTATCATGTCCCTTGAACCAAAATCCTAACTTCGCCCCTATATAAATATATATATAAATTAATTGTAACATATATGCATATATGGGAATAGGAATAAGATCATATATATATCGCAGAAATATATAACAAGTATATATATATATATATATATATATATATATGTCTCTCTCATCGTGTGTGTTTTTTACCATATTGTTTTCTCCACTGCTCCAAAGAGGGAAAGAGAGTGCCAAACCAATTGTGGTTGAGTGTGTTTTCACTGGTAGACCTGGCTGCAGCTGGGGGTTGCCGCTTTTTGAACTCCAAGAGATTACCGAGAAGCAAAGTTGGTGGCGGTCCACCTATTCCCTGCTTCCTCATAATGGATCGAACCCTCTCCGGCTCCATCACCAGAGCCTTATACACAAGCACAAATACTCCCATAACACCAACCGAAAAAACGGACACCCAAAATTCTAACATAACATGGAGGTCCTTGTCCATTGTTCTATCACTCTTAATCCTTACACACTAGCAGCCAAGTAGTGTATTATATATTCTTGGTGTGTCCTTGCATGAATAATTTTCCAAACTCAAGTGCTCGTTATATAGTGAGTGTTGTACTATAATTTCGCTATCAATCATAATGTGTATATATAAATATTTATATACCACATAAATGATAATTGACTTTTAGGCTAATGCGATAAGCAACTGTAAAGCGACGGAACTGTATAGTGAAGCAAAGTAACAAAGTCAAAATATTTTTATACCACGTGTTGTTGAAAATTTAATAATGATCCCGGATTTCTTTAAGTTTGAAAGATTCAACTTGATTTGTAATTACACTGCAAGAAAAGTCCAACATGTTGAACAAGGAGAAGAGTAAATGTGGAAACAGATACCATTCTGTGGCTCAAAATTAAGTAGGCCACGTTTCGAAGACGTATCACAGTCACTGTTGAAATTTCGGACAATCATTTTGTCTCACACTAAATTTGGCTCAAAATAATCTGACATTGTGTGAGAATGAAAAATTATGTGCTACTTGATATCAAACCAATAAATCAAGTTTTTATAATAGATTAATATAATTTATAGAAAGTATTTGTCTATCGGTGAGTAATATGATATATAATTATAAAAGGACAATACTTACTTATAATTACAAACTATTTGTTGATGTGGTTCGATTATAAATACATGTTAGTGATCAGTAAATAAGTATTGTCCTAATATATCTAGGGAAAAAACACCAAGATTTAGTAAATTATGATGCAAGATTATAATTTTCTTTTGTCAACATATGAAATGAAACGAATAAATGAACCTGTATTATACTGTATTGAATTAATAACACTACACCATGCTCTATTTATATAGGAGTAGGTGAGTGATTACATACGAGCCATGTAGGGCAACTGGGTGGAAAATAAAGGGCGGACCCAAAAACTTATAATTGGGGCGGGCCAAACTATTGCGTGAAAATAAAATTTAAAAAAAATATATAATTAGATTTTAATATATTATCTTTTACATAGGCGTATTCTTTATCTTTTTAATATGAAAAAAGTTCAGATAAGATCATGTATAAAGAAAATGGTATTTCACATTCAAGCATACAGAATTATGTCTAATTTTGGCATAAATATATAACCCATATATAAGCCGAGAAAAAAAAAATTTTAAAGTTCAAAAATAGTAAAATAAGGACAAGAAAGGAAAAATATGGGTTATATTAGCCATATATTATTAATTTTATATTTTAAAAAAATGAAGGTTTTTCTTTTTATTTTTATAGTAAATAAAACTAACAAGAGTTACAATCAAGTTCCACAACACTCATAACTAATGAACTGGCTAGTCTCCACTAGTTATATGAAAATAGTTACACACTCAACTATCTCATTCTTTGCACACACCCTTATACAAGATGAAACGCTAATTTTCACAATCTCTATATACACTATATTACAAGAAAAAGGATTATTAATGACAGACCTTTAGGGACAGTACAAAAAACTGTCCCTAAAGACCCTATTTTTAGGGATGTGCTTTAATTACTGTCCCCAAGGACCCTATTTTTAGGGATGGGCTTTAATTAACGTCTCTAAAGGCCTAAATAATTTTTTCCCCCCTCCGTACCGCTGGCAAGAAACTTCGTGCCACATAAATGATTTTTTTAAATAGAAAACATAATTAAAAATTAGTCTTTAGGGACGGTAAATGTACCGTGAGTAATGTGACATTATAAAATGTACGGTAAATGTATTGGATTTTCAAATTTTTTATTGGTAGAAGTTCTTAAACTTTTGTTTTTGTCTTCTTTTAACTTGCTTAATTTTTAAGCTCTACCATTATATTTACTCAAGCTCTTTAAAATTTGTAGTTAGTGTCAGGATCTCTATATCTATCATCATTTTTGTTACATGTGTTGTAAATTCTCTTAAATTAATTCAAAGATTTATGCATTAAGGTGTTTTCGTTTTTATTTTTGAATCATGATTTATGGAAAAACAAGTCTTTTGGAGAGAGTGAACATGGTTTTAATACATAAACAACATGTTATCTGATCAATTGTAGAAACAACTTCTCTCTATGATAATTTGAGTTGGAATTGTAATATAGATTTACATTATTGAATGGGATAGGACCAGCCACCCGTCATGGAACCGTCATGGAAGAAGTTGAAAGAGTTATGAAATATTCAACACATGCATCAAGTGATTTTTGTTTATAACTACCCTTTTTTTTTTTTGTCACTAAAAGAATTCTGGGCAACGGACAATTAGGGACAGTTTCAAATTTGTCTCAAAAAGGTAGTTTATTTGGGACGGAAGAAGCAGTTTGTCCCAAATTACCCAAAAAAAAGCCTAAAATACCAAAAAAAAAAAAATTTACCCCCCTCCAATTAGTTAGCGCGAAAATTTAGCGCCATATTTATATTTTTTTTTAATAAAAAAAATTATGAAAATGGCCTTTTGGGACGATAAACGTACCGTCCTTGATTACTTACCAGGTAATTTTACAAAACTATCCTTCTAAAACGACGTAGTTTCAATCAATTAGCATATATATATTTTGCCCACAAGGGAGACACTTGCGCAGAACCCTCTCAATTATATTAAACTTGTTCTGCCCTCTTTCTGAAGGATTGCCCTAGCTAGCTCTTCTCCTTCCGTCTTCTATCTCAGACGATGATGATCCATTTGCCTTTACATGACATCTAGTGCTGAAAAACTTGTATGGTCTTCCCCAATATCGATCTCTTTCTTTTCAATTGAAGTCATTGCCAACTAATTTTCTCTTTCGCAAAAGTGGGTATCAACATGGAGGTCTTGAAGAGCCCCCCAACAACAGCAGCCAGAAACGATCTTTCTTGATATCCTCTGCTCTCCTATCGATGAGTCCTCTAACACTCTCCGCCGTCTTCAACATCAATCCCACCGCCGGTAATTTTCACTCCTCAATTCCCTTATTTCCCAATTAATGAACCCTAACTGCGTATACATTCACTATATACACACATATACACATGCATATAATTAACATAAATGTTTTAGATGCACAAAACTTGAGTGTTCGCTTTATTGTTCATTGCTTAACAACCATATTTGTACTCAAAATGAAATTAAGGAAAAAAAAAAATGTAACAAAAAGGAAAACGGGGGTGGGTTCAAAGATCAATATTTAATTTGGTAAGTAGTCATGCATGGAACTCTGTATTTGGATTAGGATCAAGTTATGATTAACTTTGAATATTAAATTTTTGGTGAAAATGAGACAGAAAAATTAAAAAAGAAGAATTGTAAAGGTCTTCTTTGAATTTTTATTTTGATTTAGAATTGTGGAATGCTGGAGAAGATTTTTAAAACTTGAAATCAGAAGATAAGTTCTTGTCGCGCTCATCCTTCCAAATTGCACATTAAACGCATTAATTTGGACTTCAATTTTCAATTTTCTTATGGTATTACATTAGGAATTTCCTTATGATAGACGTGCTTTATGTCCCAGTTGGTCGGAAGCCCTACAGTTGGTGTGTGAGCTTTTGTTGGAGTCGCCTACCTACCCTCTAACTTCTAATCAAACTTCAACCAATTGCCAGGCTAAAAATATATATTCCTTCTGCTTTCCTTCTGCAGTTAAGTTTTCTAAATTTTCTCAAACATATGATTGTAATGCAAAACATAAACTTCACTTTTAAAATAGTGGCACTTTTTTACCTTTCAAAATAGAAGATCTAGGTTTAAATCCCTTAAAAGAAAAAGTGGAATGTAAGAGTGAGTTTCTATTAAAAAAAATTATTAAATAAAATAAAATATAAAATAAAATAGAATAAATTTTCTTATATATATATTTTGAAGGAGTTATGCTATATATTGCTATTATGAAGTAAAATAGACAATTGTCTTCACTTCGTTTTCTTTTTAATCCATTGAGGAACCTGATATCTCGCGTACTTTGAGAATAATGTAAAATTTCATAATTCGTATAAGAGTAGATTCTTTGCACAATCTATAAACTAAGCTACTTCATTAATTTAATTTTCTTGCTGGAAAGTCGATCCTTTTTTGTGGGTTTTGTTGATTGATCTTAGCAATATATAATTTGCAGTTTATTGGCTTCTTCTTTGTCTAATTGGGTGAACATCTAATTCATTTCAATTGGGAGGCAGCAAAGTCAGTCCATTAATGGTAGACAAAGCTTCTTCTTCCTTCTTTGTATTCTGATCTCACCCACTTTCCTACTCTAGACACTCCCTGCAACAAGTCCGTCATCTTCTCACAAACCCAACTTTTTCATTTTTGAATATTCTTCTTATGGCTTTGGAAATATTTTAATTTTGCATTAACCTAAATGGTACTGATGGGTTTTAACGTATTTTTTTTTTTTTTTGGAAAAAAAAAAAATCTTCAAAAAAAAAAAAATCATAACAAACTAAATTTAGTAGTATTATAAATTATTGGCCTGAGTTGTATCCATCTTCTTTTGGAACTAAATTTTTAAAAAGTTTTATTGGACAAGAAAACAGAATGTATGAACAAACTTTATATCCCATTGATCTTCTTATCCACAAGTAGAGTGCAAGTTAGCTGTAAAGCTAATTAATTGATAACTATAGCCAACAAAATAAAACAATTGTTTTTTTTTTTTTGATAACTAGAGTGTATCATGTAAATAAGAAGAAGTGTAGAGTATGTGTCCAAGGACAAATGTTATTTTGAAACTGTACAGCTTAATCCATCACTTTGCCTTTTCCAGTTCTGCAGACTTGGTTCTAGCTTCACAAGATGTTTAAGAGAGGGTTTTGTTTTGTTTGTTTGTTTGTTTTTTTTTTTTTTTTCTTTTTTCATTTTTTAGTTAGTATTATATAAAAAATATATGTATATATATATATATTTATCTGACAAGGAGAAGGTGTCACGCCTCGTCTTGGTGCGCACGAATTGGTTAGAGTGGTGCTGAAAGTCACACCAACTAGGAGAGTGCCTCCCAGGTCACCCCAAATTGATCCAATATCTGGGACTTTTTCCCTAATTATGCTTGACTCACTAGCTATTTATTAAATTGTTATTTGTC